CGGCGCTTGACTTAACAAGCAGAGGTGGATACCAGTTGAGATCAACCATCACATATTGTTCCCCCAGGCATAGCTAAATGGCAAAAGGAGAATAGAGCACACGATGAGAATTTCGTGATCATTCTTTATATTTTTGTCTATGCCAAAACCGAAGAGCATTTAGGATGAATCCTTCCTTTTGTGAGCTAAATGAGACCATCAGGTTACGTTTGTGTTTTAGTTTTGGACGAAATTGATTCCTTACTTTTAAGCTTTTGCCAAAATTTCCGTGATAAGAATGGTTTAGCTACTGCAAGATTGCTGACAATGACCCCTAATCAGGTCTGCTATTTGAATATTTTGAATTTAAATTCAGATCTCAAAACTATTTACCTCATCTTGAATGAATAGAGATCACTCAATTCAGACTCTTTTCTTCAGTATCACACGCGCATACGTATTTTCTCCACCAAATGTCACTGTCCACTTTTCTTCATTGATTTGTAGGGTTAGAGGAAATTGAACTCGATGGAGATTCGGCACATTGTCCCGTTTGCCTTTGCCGTTGGGAGACGCTACCTCTTGACTGCCCGTTACAACTGGTCAATGAACCTGCTAGACCTGGTTGTCCGTGTTCCGAAGTCGGTTCCAGTTCCGGCATGGGACACCTAAACTCAGATAGCCACGTGACGTCGGATCCAATCAGTTCGTGTTGCGACTCCGGGTTTGAATCTCGCGAGGCCCCCATGCTCCTGGAATCTCGCACGTGCGCTCCATCTGGTCCAAACGCAACAGCTGCCCGTGGCACGCTCACACAGAGCCCATTCCCGGATTACAAACTCTGTGTATCAGCTTTCTCACTTGAGGTTGGTGTCTGTGAATGCGCTGGCTTCATTTTTTGAGCATTGATCTTTTCGCGTCTGCCAGATTTAGTCAGTTACTTCAGTCGGATACGACTATACGCGTGGGTGAATACAATTGACATTGTACAACTTAAGATGGAGCGTAGACGCAAAAATAATCTGTGTGCCTAATCACCATTCGCGACCCGAAAACCTTGAGCGCGACTTCGAATTTCAATTTCAAAATGGGTTTCCCTAGTCACAAATTTTGCTTGGATTAGGAAAACTCGTGCATGAGAGTCATATACCTTCAGGAACTTTAGTGCAATTGTTCCTGATACTCTCAAGGCATTTCCACTCAAAGGTCGATTCAATCAAACGGTTATCAATGACTGTTTCAAATGAACCAATAGATTCTCAAGCCTGTTTTATTTGGAGTGTATCAATGTGATTGTCTAAAGAAGCAGAGAGGTGTTCAGTTGTTTTCATTCCTCTTCACGTGGTTGCCAAGTGCCAGTGTGTGTAGGGGGGGGGATCGATGATGGATCTGTGTCCCTCAGAGATACAAATAGAATAGCTTGTATAAGCGACTAGACCTTCAGGGAGAAATTATTAATGCATCCAGTTCACATACACAAATGAAAACGCCTGTCAAAACAGGCGGAAAACATGCGATATTTGCAATAATAATGACGAACCTGTGTTCTGCCCGGTGCGGCTATTGGTGTGAGTATTTCCTCAACTATAAGCAAACCTCACCAGTGTCATAAGTTCACTGATTACTATGTACAAAATGGGCTTTAGCGGTTAATGAGCCGTTAGGGCTGCATATGTTCACTACCGGCTGATTATCAATTAGCGCTCATTTCCGTCGTCATTCTTCCCGGTGCATACACGCTCTCTGCTTCCTGTCTTTACCGTTGTATGATGATATTTTGAAAATAGATAAACTGCAAACGCTTGGTTCTCGCCTCATCACTACTGCTCCGTTAATTGACCATAAATCATATCATGTGTTGGCAACGTTCATCTCACCTAGGGTTAGGCACAATCTCTGTCTCATACTGTACAAGCTAAAACTGGTTGTCTAGACGTTTGAGTTCGTTTGCGGATTGGTTACTCCATGCGACGACGTTCTACTCGAATGAATCATCACGCGCTAAATATTTGATGTTTGTTGTTGTTTCTTCAAGTCTATTGTGGATGGGCAGTAGGCGTGCAAGTTCACGTAAAGCGGTCGTGTCAAAGGTCATGCAAGCTTCCGAATATAGCAGCATATCAAATCAAACCAATAGGTCATATTCAATTGGGGTAGTGGTCTTTCAGTTTTGACCCCCAAACCCACCCACCTTCCACTCCTACGCATGAAACAACCGCATCAGTGATTACGTAATCAATTACACCACATCGTTTCAGGCAGAAACGCGCAAGAGAGAGAATGGTTTCGGGTGTGATTTGGAATTCGTATTATATATTCCGAGATTTGTGTGGGTCATGGGCTATTCTGGCCCAATTTTCACGACGCACTTTGGCCGTACATCCATTTGAACCGGTAAATCCCATAGGAAAAGCTTAACTTTTGCTTGGAATGGAAATTGACCCCCCCCCCGTCTCCCCAAGTAGTGATTGAGAGAGGGAAGAGAGAAATCTCGGGATACAAAAGGATGTTGTGGAATCAGTCCGTTTCCATTAACAGTTTCTTCTTTTACGTGTATTTGAGGATACCGATAGACACAACGTACGATATGCTGATAGTCCATCCCGATTTTCCCGGATTTCTCGCGTACACGTGGGATCATGGAATTTGGTGTACTCTTGGATTGTTCCATCATCATGTTGGGCTTATATACGTATTTCAGCTTTAGCTTAGCCAAGTCGATTTTATCCTGAATGGAATATCCGAGGATCATCCTGAAAAGCTTACAGCTTACCTAGATACTCACTCAATCACGTTGTCTGCATACTCCCTTTGAGAGAGTTTGCTACCTGGGAGTGCATCGATCCTCACATGAAGACAGGGTCATTTCCAGGATCGAATCAAAAAGGCAAAGGAGGGCAACCCTAACGAATACTGCTTTTTCTATGGAACGTGAGCGAAAAACGGCCGCATACTCGGACTGGGCTTCGGCTGTCCGGCG